CCCTAATGAAACGCTTAAAAAAAATAAAAGTGATCATTTTTTCCCAAGCATTTAACTGACATCAGTGCATGGTGATGGTATTTTACAAACATTCTTTTAACAGAGAAAAAACTAGTGTGCAGGGTTTTCATATGTGTAGTATCAATCCCACGGGACTAGAGTAAGGAAAGAATGATCAGAGCAAAAGGTAGTATTCATTTCAGAAAATCTACACTTCAAAGCTGTTACTTATCCTTTCCCCCAAATCCATGCATGCCTGAAGTGGTTTAAATGATAATTGAATTCTCTATGATAACTTCGATAAACATAAAACTGCGTCACCAAGGGACCTTACTTTGATTTGAAACATGGCTATTATTTCTTGCTGATGTATTAGACCCTAACCCTAATCCACTATCCGTGTGTAGGTGGTGGGGACCAGTGCTCCAAGCTCAGCCAATTGACTGATCTAGCGGACTGCCTGAAAGTGATGCTGTCAAAGAACTTGTGAGTGCTCGGACAAATGAATAATGAAAGAAAGATCAGCAGCCCCGGACACCATGGATGACTAGCAAGTAAGTAGAAGTAGTATGAAGGGGAGGTCGTTATAACAAAGAGCGCCTGGCACTGTAAGCCATGAACTTATGGGATTGTGTCTAGCAGGCTAGAACTCATGCTCCATGCCTCCCTCTCCTGGCACTGAGGGGACAGGAGCTGAGTGATATATTGCCCTATGAGCACACGAACGATTTATGAGCACACATGCCATTCCAGTATGCTCAGATTGTAATTGGGTGAACGAGGCATTTCTCTGATAAATTCCATTATTTCAAGACTTCAGTGAAAAATAGTTGAAAACAAATGGCCAATAATCCCTAAATCACGAAAATAAATACGGACTCCAAGCTCTTTCTCCATCCTTGGCTATTTATTTCATGACTTTATAATCAGTAATCTTGCTATAAGAACAGGATGAATTAAAAAGTGACAGCTGCCTAGACTGCGCTTCAGACCGGGAGAATCTATTATTTTGAAGGTTCTCCACCCTCTGCCTTGAATGCATGACCAGTGTCTATTATTAGCAATTTAAGAATGGAGTTTCCGGAAATGCAAGTGGTCCCATCTAAGCAAGGGCTTACTGGCTTGTGGCTTAGCAAAGATTTCTGGGCATGTGGGGCTGGTCCCTATTTCTCTTGTTTCTCTGCACTTCTGTTTCCAAGGATGGAAGAATCAACCAAATAATAGTGTAACCCAAAGGGCACAGGAAAACAATTCTGTGTTTTCCTATTTTAAAAATGGAGATAGGAAATTTAACACTGGATACTAATTTTTGAAGCTCATATTTTGCTCTTCTAGTCATGCAAATAGCTCACAGGAGGACTATGGGCTGAAAAGGCACCATTTGTTAACGTTTACATGAAGGCTTATTCTATCAGGTTATTTCCTATCTTCTGCAGTTAGTTGAGGGTAAGATGTTTTCTCTATCAGAAAAGAGGAGATAAGCAACGTGTAATGTGATTTGGCTCATCTGACATCGGAACCATGAACTACACACACGTGTTTCTTTGATTTAGCAACCGATCATTGAAGCAGTTCATGTAAGGTGGTGCTTGTTTTGTAGTAAAAATGATGCCAAGTCACAGTGACCCCACAGGACAGAATCTAACCGCCCCATAAGCTTTCACGGGCTGCAGTCTTTATGTGAACCACCAAGTGGGTTTAAACCGATGACCTTTTGGCTAGCAGCTGAATGTCCAACCACTGAGTCACCAGGGATCCTTTCACGAGAGGGTGG